TAAAAGTTGGCTGGTGAAAATAATTTTACCAGACACTATCTCACATATTATGAATAAAAGTTACAAACATAATTCAATTTATACGCAGTTACAAGTTGTACGTAGAAACCTGTAACCTCAAAGCTACTTAACGCCTCAGCAGGCCATAACCTACAAAAGAGCAAAACACGTCGCTAATCGAATCCATTCAAAATTCACAATTCGATTTTTGAATGGCCGATAAAATCTGACATTCGAACCGCGCTGCAATTTTGCATACATAAACATCGTAAATCTCATTCAATGAAAATGTATATCGATGTATCGATATCGAATTTACGATCGATTCATAACAGAACTATGAGCCGTGCCTTATTAAGAGGACAACGCTCGAGTCACGTCCGAAACAATCACATCTTCATTAATTACGGAAGGAATTTTTCTGTAGTTGTTCACTAAACGTGAGCTTTTAGTCGAATAGTAAGCGACATAGATATGTGAGAGCGGAATATTAAAGTATATATTTATAAAATAGTCATTGCTACTAACTGTAGTTGGTACATTTATAGCATAGTTCTTACATAATTTTTAACTTTTCATTATTATACAATATTTTATATTTCAGACGGTTATGGTGCATTCATGTATTATATTTTCGCAAATTAGGTAAAGCGTATGCCCAAAGTGGAATTGTTTAAAAGTTCAGTAAAGCTTTTGAAAAATATACAATATTAAAAAACTATAATGAAAAAAACGAAAACTAACTATTAAATTATCATATAGTCCTACTCCCCGTGGTATCGTAATATATAACGAATAAAGATAAAGATTATAGTCGGAATTGAAGGCAATGTAAATCATAATTTTATTTTCATAATATTTATTCATTTGTGTGTTCCACGCTACAATACTGTGAGAAATATATTCAAACTGTATTGGAAAGATTATTTTATAGAATATATATTTTCTACTGCCATTGTTCGGCTCAGCAAGCCATATTAGAACTCGTAATAGGATAAAATCCTAATTTCTAGTGTCGATCGATGACAGATCGATGTCACTATAAATATATAGACATATACTGCCATAGAATACAATTATAATATAGGTACCGCCACAATAACCTGTCTATAAATTATAAATATTTACATGAAAACTTAAAGATCTAAGTTTTGCAATTATTAATACTGACTTTAACAAAATGGAAATGAAAAAAAAACTTTATCATATAAATGCATGTCAGAACTCGCTGTTAGGGCTGTACCTAACCTCTACACTACCGTAGAAAGCAAGAGAAAATTGCCTGGTTTTATTAAGTAGTCTTCAAGTTGAAAAAACATTCCAATATAAACGATCACCATTTTAGTGAAACAATACAATGGACTTTTTAATGTTCAACCATACCATAACCCAAGCTCGCTGTTTAATCATCGCACTAAGAATATTTAAAAATGATTATGCTCATTTTATTGATGCGGGTGTTCTTATGACTCCGTTGGACCCAATAATTTATGGGTACCTTATAAATATATTTCTTTATATTTTACTTTTAATTTAACAACATCGATTTTTGATATCAGAATAATTCTCAGATATATGATCGTTGTTTTAAACTATTATAAGTAAGCGCTTGACTTCTATCCCACCTAATGATAAATGGATATAAAGTCGGAGATAGTAAAGCCTTCGTTTAGCGAAAGCTTATTCACTCTTGCCTCGAAAACACCCACATTATAATCGGATGGAATGACAGATGCTGGCAAATTATTCCACTACTATACGCATTGTGAACGAAGAAGCAAACCGTTTGGTTTGAATGCGTGGTATGTCGACAACAAAGAAGAGGAGACCAGTCGAGCGTCTAGTGGTCCAATGATTAAATGGAGAGAGAGAAATTAAGTCATGCAATTCCTGCGCACACTCCCCGTATTGTATCCTGTAAAGCACCGAAAAGCTGGCCACTTTACGTTACTTTTTAATAGTTATAATAGTCGATATTAATTCATTGCTATAGGCCTCCGCCTCCCATTGTTATCGGTCTTGAGCTTCTTTTTTTAATAGAAATAGAGTGATAAACGAACACAGTCTATCTCATGGTAACTGAATACTGCGGCCCATAGACATCTACATCTATCCTCGGTTAAGAATCAAAGTCCTACGTACGTACGTAGATGCGTTGCTACTCCTGAACGCTAAGATGGAATGCCTCGTTTTTTGTAATATAATTAAATTCTTGCATGTGTGCCTTATCTAATCGCTTTACGGCGGATTGTCGACAATTTTACTTACCTTTTATGTACATTATATACATATATACATTGTATACGTATATACTTTGCATGTGCACTCTAGTTTTATTTGTAGTACGGACAATAAATTAATAAATATATTAGCCGCTATCCTACTTCTACAAGTGATTAAGCATTAATTTTAAGGCATAAGTAATTAGTATTTTTTTCACTTATTTATTTTGTAAATATGTATTTTATTAAAACCGCAACTAGACAACACAACTTTACGTGGTACAGCCATACTGCAGCTATATTACTGGTATAGATGTAGCATGTAGTAAGATGTAACATGAAATGCCTCCTTACCAGTAAAAGGAGTCACCAGTTCTCTACACTCACTACACGAAACAAAGCAACATAAAGCTACTATTTTACGCTGGTATTCTTTGAGAGCGTGGTCCTACCCCGATCGAGCCGACTCATTCGTGCTACAACTAGCTGCAGGTGGACTGTTAGTTTGTATTTTCACTTGAACGTTATAAAAATAATTAAGACAATACTGAAAACGCTGTCAAAAGGGCCACAGCTCGTTACTACGTAAGTGATAATAAAGAAGCGATTTAAGGTCTCGTTCCGCCTCAATTTGTCGCTCCAGTTTTTGCGTAATGCTCACTGTTCAAAATTCAGCGGTAATTAAGCGCCATGCCCGCGTACTTGCAATTTTATTTGTAAATGGAAACTCTGTAAGCATACAAATGTGTGTGCGTGTAATTGAAGTCGTATATTGTATGCAATTAAGATCAGATTCGCCTGGAGCCAACTCAAATTAATTGAATTTTTAAGTTCAATTGTGTTGGAGTTCATTGCCGTTTTATGAAATAAACATAATATGCTTATAAGGATAAGGATTTAATTTAATCAAATTATTTTAGTATGACACATCACTTCTAATACAGGCTCGTTTTTTTTTAAAAACTGGCAATCGGGCACAGTCCATGGTAAGTGCATCCTGTGACCCATAGCCACCTACACCTATTGTGGCTCTACCACATTCTAAATATCTCTAACAATACCGTCACTTTTAATTCCGTGGTCATGTAGTGCTGCTTAAAAGAATCTACTACCCTATATGTCCCGTGTCACAGACGGGGAAATGGAACAGGAGATGGGCAGCAGCATCTTTCTGATAACAACTACTACAAACTAATAAAAACTACGGTTGTAAACCCATCTGCCAATACAAGGGGCAAAGTGCGGCGACACTTCACGCCGGGACAGCTGCTTACTTTATATAAAGCGCATGTCCGGTCGTGGATTATTGCTGCCATATATAGGCTGGTGCTGTAAAATGCAAACTAGCAGCTTTGGACTCAATGGAAAGACCTGGAAAGGCTAAAATGCTTATTGGTGACTCATATTAGGTTAAAACCGATCTTACTAGCCTCGAACACAGGCGAAAAGTAGCCAGCCTTTCGGTTTTCTACAGGATGCATTTCGGAGAGTGTGCACAGGAATTGAATAATTTAATTCCTCCCTCTCCCTTCCACCATCGGACAACCAGACGTTCGACCAGTTTCCACCATTTCGTTTTTGACTTACCACGCGTTCGAACCAAACTGTTTGCTACATCATTCGTGATGCGTACAGCAAAGGAGTGGAATAAGTTGCTAGTATTTGTGTTTCCATCCGATTACAATGTGGGTGTCTTCAAGGCAAGAGTGAATAGGCTTTTGTTAAGTCAGTGCGCTTCACGATCTTAGTCTACATCACCACTTACCATCAGGTGGGATTGTAGTTAAGCGCTGGCTTAAAGTAAATATAAATTTATTCTAGTAAAATTATGAATTACAATATTAATAGAAACAGTTAAGGGAAGAAAAACTTCGAATCTAAAGTCAAGACGATGGCAGATTGATTACTCATTTCAGAATTTGATACTGCGCTTCTACGCCAATCCACTTGCCGATAATGAGGATCGTGGTATACTCTTCAACGATCATGGTAAGCTGGAGTCAGGAAGTTAACGGTGTTTCACCTCCGTGCCTCGAAGAGCACGAAAAGGTCCTGCACCTGATCTCTTTCCGTTCTTGTTGCATTGCCGCCCTATCGGACTATGAGAAAGGCGAAAGTGCACATATACTTGTTGACACTGTCGTACATTATAATCCTGTCCTGCGTAGATCGCTAGTTTCTGTTCAGACTGGTCGCGCGTTTTACACAAACAATAACAACACTACATTAATTTAATCAACTTTTCTTGTTCCTAGAATGTAGTAATGAATCAATCTAAAATGTAAAGTAATTTTATTTGCCGCACTAATGTAGCTTAATTGAAATAACACTCGCATTGTGAACTCGTTTAATTAGTTTCAACCACTCGTAAAAATGAAGACGTAATAGAGGCAATTGAAGCGACGGCAACCGGACACGCGATCTTAACACAAACGCATTAAGTTTTTTCATTTGTCCGAACGTAAAACACTAATTCTGAAATTTCAAAGCGGCCACCGAATTCAAAAGTCGAGAATATAATTAACGATAATTATCTCTTTGTTGCAGGTGCAAAAACTGGAAGAATGAACCGTGCGCTGTTTGACAAAGCGCAACACTACGCAGTTAATGATGCCCAAAAGTGTATCTTATGATGAAGCAACGATGGAGAACGGGATGGAGAAAATAAGAAACGAACTGACTTGACAAACGTGTTATGAACAAGAAAGTGATGTTTTTCAAACTTATCGAAACAGTGTAGTGGAACTAAATGATGTCAATGTGCTAGGACTTTAAATAATGCCTGATCGGGAGTCGGTAGGAGGCCCTGGGACTGCAGGCAGCGGTGGTTTTTTGCCACTACAGTTCCCGTCCGCTTTCGCGGCTTTTCACGCTTCTACACCGCCTGGGGCTCCTGCCACAGCTATGCACCACGCGACCCATTATCATCATCATGCCCAGTAAGTATCTTTAAATTTAATTAAATTTTAGAATGAGTTTTCCTTTCCGTTTATTGGTTTTTTGGACTCCCCATGATACATAGGATTATATGTGTAAACAAATTTAATATATATTATTATGTTCAAAACAATTTTCGGTTTCGTTCTGACATATACACACAAAATTTGCACAAAATATTCCGGCCGGCGGTGGAATTTTGAGGTTTGCTAAAAGCGGAAACTGTTTGTAAATTTTTTATCAAATCATCTAACAATAAAAATGAAATCACCAAAGTTACTGTGCAATTTATATTATAGATATAATTATCTCGTAATTTTTATTACTCTACAAACTATGTATAACAACATATCTATAGTGCATTCTGAACGGTTAATTATGTTTATGATATACACTTTCAGTTTTACGTCTATTCTTATCATAATTAATTTGGATTATAGCCAAATAGGTTTAGTGTTTTACGTCCGATAAATTTATCTACATAAATATTTTATTATGGATTTTCTTGCATAGCAAGTGTCATTTAGTATTATGATAGTTTCATGTCTGGCTCCCGTTCCGAAACGCCAATTTCATTTATCGGACTAGGCTATAAAATAGAGTGGTTCATTAAGCATTCGTCCAAGAACAAGCCACCAGACCTTTTTATTGCAAAACTAAACGTGGTACGTTTATTTCAACACCGACTTTGTAACTACGTATTTTCAATTAAAATGTCACCATTTTTGCTACCCATAATTAATAAAATTTAGATCTTCATGAATATGCTATTTTATTAATGCAGCGCAGTGAGAGCTTCGCAGTTCCCATGTCGTGTTCTATTTTTACAGGACAAGAATGTTATATAGAGCACTTTTTTCTAGATTAGCGGCAGAGTCGGTCTCAGTTTACGGCTGCGGGTCCCATAAAATCCAGGTGGGACAACGTTACTTATGGTTAATTTATTGCACAACTTTAAACACGTAAGGCGTTCAATTTGAAGATCGTATTAATCTTTCCTAACCGGCCTTTAAGAATGAGATCGATCGACACCTGAATGGAACCTTGACAAATGAAGTACAGGAAGTCATCAAAGGAATTGAGACGTTTACAATGTTAGTATGGACGTTAATAAAAGCGGGACGGTGCGTTTCAACAAACGAGTTACTCGCCGCGCTCAAAGGGTACGTGATGTATGGCGGTGGCCGGGCCGCCTCGCCCGACTGAAATGATTAATGCCCCAGCATCATGCTCCAAGCGCTCTTCCTTCGAGATTCAAGTCAATATTCAACGAAATTAAAAGTACTGCTTAATCTTCAAACAATACAGTTTCAGTCTGTGACGTACCTTACTTACGTTTGCAGTATTTTATTGTTTCGAGTCAATAGTGCTTTGTTCGTAAGAAATACCGCAGTCCATCTTCAAGTCCAAGTAGTCACTTAAATCATTCGCGCGAAGATGGATGTGGTGCGCCGTAGTTTAATTTATTTCAAAGCCTTCCCAACACAATCGTTATGTCTACAACTTATTTATAGTGATTGCAGATTTCTTTATGCTTATAATAAATAATTTGCTTCTGAATACATGCCTTCAGAGTTTATCTATCTTGTGATTTCTGGTATTTTATACACGTAGGATGCAGAGGCATTTCGTCGCCGGATGCCGCACGGCCGACTGTACCCATTAACGACAACTTCTCGGTGCCTCATTTAACCCGCTGCTGCGATAATTGCCACCACGTGTTTATTTCTAAGCCATCTAATTATAGCACGCACAATGGGTTGGACACGATTGGTTATTTTGGAACCGTTCGCTCCGTCAAAGTCAATTTTGTTCGGTTACAAAAGAGGTGTTGCGAGTCGGCTGTCGTTTGATTCATTAACTGGAACCCTTTGTACTGATGTATCGGTATCGCGTGCCACTTTGCCTATTAATCCTCCGTCATCTCTTTTATTTTCAATCGAGCAATCTCTTTGTACTTCTATTCCAAATTGACTTTTTACATTGTTGCTCGCACTACCCCTTTCACCTTTAACGTTCCGTCTATTTCTCTGTAACCATTCATCCATTATTTACACTTTGAATTTTATTACCGTAAGTTATTTTGTTATATAGGAAGCAATAAATACGCTGAATTGAAAATATCTTGGATAAAAACCCTAGTTGCGTCCATGAAGTTAAAACTCTCAAGGAACCTTTCAACTAACACATGCGTCGCCACAATGGCTTCTAAACTATAATAAAGTGCCATTCTCTCGCCCGCATCCCACCACGATCTCATTGTGGACTACGTCCTGTCTTCACAAATCATCGAGACACGAAAAAACACTATTATTATTGATGTAAAGACAAAAGCAGTATCGGTACGCGATTGGTCGTCGTGTGTGGTGGCCCATTGTTGGGCCCCGTTGTAACATGAAGTGTCGGCGGCAATTAGGCGCAATATCTTTATCATGTATAAAATCTAAAGCTTTATTATTTAGGTGTACATTTCTTTTATCGATGATATCTAATACTTTGTATCGAGTCGTTCGCTCGGTCCGTAATAGTTTAACGTTGTGTCTTCATATCGGATGAGATACACGATACTGGTTTTATTCGGTTTGTAAGCAAGGCTTGTATTTGTAAATGAAACAGCAAATAATTACAATAAGAGAATAATTTAAATTTATATTTTTATGTATGTTTACTGATCACTGTAATTCTAGCCGCAACCAGTATTGATTAAGAAGTTTGAATTTATTGTAATTTTTACATATCTTTTCTTCGATTATATTGCAGACAGCACATAATTACAATATGAGAATAATTTAAATTTATATTTTTATGTATGTTTACTAATCACTGTAATTCCAGCCGCAACCAGTATTGGTTAAGAGGTTTGAATTTATTGTGATTTTTACATATCCTTTCTTCGATTATATTGCAGACAGCATATAATTACAATATGAGAATAATTTAAATTTATATCTTTATGTATGTTTACTAATCACTGTAACTCCAGCCGCAAACAAAATTGGTTAAGAAATTTGAATATGTTTTGTTTTTACATATCCTTTCTTCGATTATATTGCAGATAGTTTACCAGTTAGGAAGGGTCAAAAGTTGGTAGATGCATCTATGTTTTGTATTATTTCTGTGTAGCCGCTTACAATATATATTTTTTTTTATAATATCAGAGTGATAAATGAGCTTACACTCCACCTGAACGTAAATCGATACTGCAACCTATGGTTTCTTGCTATTGTAGGCAATTAGGCTACTGTAAATTTTGTATATATAATGTATTCTGTAGCTTGAAGACCAAGATTTTTTTTTTTTAAATTAAGATGACAAGCGAGCACCAGTCCACCTGATGGTAAGTGGATGTTGTCGTGTATCTAAATCTATCCGCAATTAAGGAATCAAAATGCAGATGCATTGTCACCTCCGAGGACTAAGATTGAATGCCTCGTGACCAGTAAAAAAGATGAAATATTTCACTGGCTGTATTCATTACACTAGGCTACTCATGCTCCAAACCGGAACCCAGCAGTGACAGCTGCATGGTGGCACATATAGGTTAGAGCGTATTAACATAGACGGACTCAAAGCCCTGCCACACGATAGATACATAGTCGTAGATGGAAATATTTTTTGTCATCAATTAGGATTGCATCAATATACTCAACTCTTCTCTCAACAATAATCATTTTGAAAACAATACTTTAAGCGTCTAATGTTGTGTTTTTATATAATAAAGCAATAATTTTAATTTCAGTCACGTCTTTCAAATCAAATGGCTCATTAGTGATCATTATTGTTAATAGACTAACCTTTAACCGCAACTCCGGCTCACTCTCGATGAAAAGTCAATTATTTACTTCGGTTATTGAATACATTGAAAGTTTCGTAGTCTGTAATCATATTGTAATAATATTCAATTTAGTATATTATATTACATTTAATAATAATAATAATAATGTCATCCAAACCGAATTTCGGTCATGGAGGCCATCCACAATATGGACTAGCGGCTCAGGACAGGATTATAGTGCGCAAGTGAATGCGCAAGCACAGGTACACTCTTTATGTCTTATCCCTTACTCTCATAGTCTGATAGGACGGTTAACTGTCACGATCGGAGAGAGATCAGGTATAGGACCAACGGCTTTACGTGCTTTCCGAGGCACGGGGGTGAGACACCGCCAACTTCCTGACTCCGGGCAGCTACTGAGAATTTCTTGACAGAAACACTCGATAACTGATTTTTTTTACCCGACCCGTGATTTGAATCCGGGACCTCATGATCAGCAGTTGCGTTCACAACCACTAGACTAACAAGGCAGTCAGCTTAGTATTTAAGAAGTTTAGTCAGCTTAGTATTAAAGAAGACCTACTACACGGCGGCGTAAGAGCATTCACTTCCTCATATCTACCCGTAGCAGTTTACGCCTTCTTCCAAAAAAAAAAAAGATGCCATAATGTGGGTGGGGAGTTGCCATATTTGCAATAAGACAGAATGAATATTTAAGAATAATTCTTTGTATGGTGTTGCGGTTGTTCATGGGCGGCGGTAGTCACTTACCATCAGGTGAGCCGCATGCTCGTTTGCCCCCTCTCCTATAAAAAAAAAAAAAAAAAAAAAACATACTACACGGCGGCGTAAGAGCATTCACTTCCTCATATCATCCATCATCCCGTAGTCTTTTCCGCCTTCTTCCAAAAAAAAAACAACAATGCCATATATGGGGGGGGGGGGGAGAATTCCATAGTTGCAATGAGACAGATTGTCAGGAAGCCCTTTGTTCAGCAGTGGACCTTGTAATAAGTGAATGAATGGAAAATAGAAGTATTTTAACACATTTATTAAGTCTCGTATTGGTTAACAGCTTAATCGTTTTTCTCAGAAACGCACAAACTCCGCGAACATATCTTATTATAGCCAGTTTCCCTTTGAGTGATTTATCGGTTTACCTCGACATATGCAAGTTTCGGCTTAAGGGACTCCGTTGTTTATAACACAAATATTGTATATAAATTA